GCCTGAATTGTCACAAGCAAAAAAAAAGAAGAAAGGCAGTAAAAAAGATGAAAGATTAAATGAAATAAACAGATTGAATATTATCAAAATGAAGACAGATTAACAAAAAAAAAAACTCAAAACACCATAGTAAGACTTCCTTAATCCAAATTTCCTTCGATTTTCCAGTAAAACAACTGGGAGATTTGTTAAAATAAAAAACAGTGGAGTTTTCTAAAAAGCTGTAAATCTGTTATACATATCAAAAGTTTTCTTGTGCATTCCACTAAGTAATTATACGACATGCTTCACCGCTTATGCATTGTCAGTAAAACCAATTGCAGGTTATGGTGATGACTGCAGTATATTGGTGATAAAGTGTTTGAATTTTCCGCAAACCTCTAATGCTTTAAGCCTAAAAAAACTAACTAATCATTTATTGAAACATTTTCAATGCAACAAATTCACAAGAGACCTCCCAACGGAAAGGATGACAAGCATAACATTGAGGCAGAGTAGTTCTGGTATGTGCGATGTATCAAGCTTATGCATGATAACACCTCTGCATCACAAATCATGATAGAACGAGAACGACTTTACAATCTGTTAACAAAGTGATTATTGAACTGCTGCCATACTAGATTCAAATTTGCTGCTACCATATCCATTAGAATTCTTAAGCTAAATGGAGTCTCTTCTAAACACACTCCACCCAATCCTTTTTTCTCCAGTTAGTGATTCTATCAACCTGTAGCCTCGTACGGTCAACGGTCTTAGAAAAGTCTGAAGAAATGTTTTTCTGATCGTTTTCGATCCGTAGCCACCATTTAAAATAAAAACTCCGCAATAGAACCCCCCCACAAATCAAAAAAAGTCATTGTTTCCTTGCTACTTCACGTATCTGCTCTAGCATATCAGAAACTATATCTGAAAAGAAGTGTGAATTTTTGCTGCCGGTTATTAGCATATTGAAGAAATATCAGGTCAAAGAATTATCAATTCCAGTGATTAAGTGTTCTATCCTTCCAATCTACCACACAACCTCCTATTAAGCCACTCTTGGCTTGCAAGTACTGTAAGCAATTCACTGCGTACAGCTAGTTTTTATTTTTGTGTTAGCGATAATATACACATAAAGATTGCTTTATTTAGTTCCCATAATCTTTATAATTCCCTTTATTTGCCATCCTTTTGCGCATAGACTTATTTTTGACTGTTAGAATGAACAGATACAAAGCCAAATATTATGCAGGAGACAATGTCAATGAATCGGTAGCTAAAAAACAGAAGAATTCACCTGACATTACTGTTACTATAGAACAGTTATAGACAACAACAATGTCATATTCATTAATAGTACCATGCTAAAAAAACCCGTACTTTGAAGTTAAAGAAAAAGGAAGAAAAAAAGCGATCAAAAATTTACAGCCGACACTTTATGAGACAATGCAGACTATGTTACACAAAATTTCCACTTTCAAAAATTAATTTATTTCGTTTTTCTCAAAAACGACACTGCTGTATCCATCAAAGGAAATTATGTCAATTCCTACATCGTAGGAATAACTCAGTGAACGTTCAGATATCTAGGAAAAACACAAACTGCGAAGAAATAAGCAAATAAATTGCTGCTCTGAATGTCGAATAAAACAAATAATTACTGGCTAATCCACAGTTCTATAGACAACAAAATAATAACTTATGTTGCTCGTAGCAAAAAAAGAAAAAAAAAAGAAACAAAAAAGCAACAAAATAATCAAACTCTTAAACCCTCCTATGTCAAACAGTTCAAGGATATAAGCGTAAGGGTTCAAGTTGCTTACACAGCTTAAGGTGCCGTTTGAGCAGTGTGTGAAATAATCTAAAGTTACATAGAAACATATATTAAAACATCTTTTATGCTTCCATTCAATTTTTGAGACTTCTCTACTCCAGATATCACAAACATAAACTGCTAGAAACGTGGGAAAAAATAAAGAAATCTACAGATGATTATATATGGCAAATAATCCTGCAATAAAACACAAAAAAAGCAGCGTACTTCGATTATATGAGTCTCATTTTGGACATGCTGCATTATTATTATTAAAAAAGTGTTTTTCTGTCAAAAGTACTAACTCTTAATGATTGGCAATTGGCACCACGTGTCGTCACCTACTAGGTAGAAGTAGACAGTTTAAAACAGAACAGTAGTTGACTTACAATATCCTTCATCTTTTCGTTCGCTGACGTATTTCCCTCTTTACGTAATCACGTAACCAACCATCTGTTACATTTTCGTCAATTATTTTCAACGTATTTTCAATAGGTTCGTCACTGTAATAAAACGTTCGGTAAACGCCGTACTCAATCCAAACACAATTCAAACATCCCGAACCACAGCAAAGTTTCGGATCCGGCGATTCAACACCAAGCCTTCGAGATCTTGCTCGACGTGGCCTTACAGCTTTGACGGATATAGACGATGAAGCCGATTCCAATTCCTGTTGATTTGCCGTACTGCTGGCACAACGATAACTACACGGGGAACGACGCACAATATTTGAGAGTAAACAGATTTTCCTAGCAAGCATCTTCTTCGCACTAAAAAGAAAGCATGCAGGAAAGAAGAGTAACTGCAATCAGCTGCCGAAAAACTGTGCATTTAAAACTAGTAAAAGAATTGTCAATCACATGGTACACAGCAGACCCTTTTGATAGTCACAGAAAATCAATTGGCAAAAACTGCTCACCGCCTATGTTCAATGACCAACCAACGATTAACAAACGAGAACTGTCAGAAACATACAACCAGTAAATCAGCGGCTCAGTCGTGTAAATCAACCTTTTCTCTAACAGGATGATTAAACAGATGACAATTAGAGCAGCAAAAAATTTCCAGAAGTCCCACAAGCAACAACAAGACCCAAATATAAACGTTTTTTTACCTCACCAACTGCCTCCCTACAGCCCTTACTTTTTCAAATTCATTCTCTTATTCTATTTCAAACATGCATCTTTGCAGCTCCATCAATAACACAAACCCATCACTAAACTCTCCAAAGGCACAAAACCAAATCCATCACCAAGCAGGTGTTCCTTGAACTACTTGTTATTCCCTGCTAACAGTTTACACTTTCAATTTCGGTTCCCATCATAAAGAGAAGAAAAAAAAAAAATGACTGTACATTTTGAACGAAGTATGTAGCATAGAAAAAACTCCTACTGTTGAAACAGTCAGACTTAATCACAATAGTAAGTGCAGTCTAGGACTACAAAAAATGTGTCTGCAACCGTCGCAACATATAACAGGTACACAACCAGAAAGCCTGTTTATCAAAAGTAATTGGTTTTTGTGGCTCAATAACCAATAATAACTTGTTCAGCTTGTTGCATACTGAGCTAGAGTACTAAATCAACAACTACTTGCCCATGAGATTCCTTTTATTACGGAAAAATTTTTAAAATACCACACAACAAACAGTGTCAAAAAAAGGTCTTTAAAAATACACATCTTCAAAAAAAAGGACGAGAATTTAAAAAATATATTGTCAGCATTTGAAAACAACAAAAAAACCAAAAGACGGCACGAAAAATATGTACAATAAGAACTTCGTATTGTCAATGAACGAATTAGCATTTAGAAAAAAACAATTTATCTTGTACAATACTTTACCCACACACAATCACCCTCATACAACTATACAATAATTTTTCCTTAAACTATCATCCCCACCACAATGTGTTAACGTCATTGGCACCAAGTGTGAAATAATGTCAAAATGGCGCAATGACAAAAAACTTTCTCAAAAAAAAGAAAAAAAAAAGATAATAAGAAATTACAACAGACTCGCGCAAATAAACTTTTCCCACTCGCCTATCAGAAACCAGCAAAATACAAAAGAAAACCCCAATCTTTATTTCAAATAAACCACGCGGAATGATGTTGCGAGAAACAATGACGGCAAACAAAATTTTTGAAGAATATATTACAAAACACGCAAAGATAAAAAAAACGCAAAACTTATCTTTACGATATGATGGAATGCACTTATTCCCTCCCTTTACATAATCACTACACAGCATATTTGAAAAACCCATTTCTTACACATTTAGTTAAAAAATCACACTAAAAAAGTGTCACTTATCTGAAGACTTAAACAGGACACCTTGTACACTGTTTCAGATACCCAGCAAACATTACTGAGTTATTATTTTCTCTCAATCTGGTTCTTCCTACTCAAAAAAAAAAGCCCAAGTGCTCCTCAAGTTTTACAAAAATGTATAAGCAAATCAAAGCATATCACTAGAACTCACGCGCTAAAAGCCATTATATTTTCATTCATTATCTGGAAAAAAACCACCCCTTCCGTTGGCCCAAAAATTCAACGGTATAAACTAACCGTTGTTAAAAAGTAAGAGAGCTTCTAGCAAACTTCTTCTGCAAATCCATCATAAAATTAGCCGCAGAAAAAAGTAACTTGAAAATTCAAACACAATATACAGATTTAAAAAGAAAGTGGAATTCTGCAGAATTAACAAAGCTTACTGTTTTTCGAGCCCGCGTAATAAACTCAAAAATGAGCTTACCAAATTCGGGAATTGAAAAAAGAACATAAAACACCTTTTTTGGCTGTCTAATTAATTAATTCACTTTGGTAATGAATAAGAAAGAAAATATTAACTTCTCTACCTAAAAAAATATAAGTAAAAATTAAAAGGCACACATAGATTAAAGCGTATTAAACAACTCGTCACCCTTAAATCAATACTGCAAGAATGAGCAATGAGCAGCTGTCATATAACAGGAAAAAATACGCGGTAAGAAAAATACATAATTAATTATACTTATCCAGAATGTGTATTGGTAACAGAAGTTAAATGAGTTCCATCATGCGGCAGAGATCGAACTAGATCTGGTTCCACGCATTGTCCCGCACTTCCCGAAAGATCATGGCCACCGAGCTGAAATAAATATTACTAATCAAGCAATACATGACTGTCATTGTTTACACAATTAACAAACTGCAACAAGTTACTTTTTCCATCTAAACACTAAAGATAAAAAAATAAAGAGATAGCAACGTAACAGCACCAAAAACGACTGTTAAAAAACAAAAATATCAATCCTTGTCTAAAATGAAACAAACTTGCAGAAACAAAACGCCATAACAAATGAAAAATTCCAAAAATACAAGCAGCCTAACAAAGCTCCATATCATCTAAACTTACTTAAATGTCTTCTACCACCTTCAATGACATTAACTATAAAAACTTTCAGCAGTTTCAACTGTAGCCTTACATACTAAAAATGCAGCGAATAAAAAAACCCGCACCCTTTCTATCAAAGAGCTCCTTATTTTCTTCCAATATTCTTATCACCGCAGTTAAACATAATATAAATTATGTTTCACAGAAGTTTAGGATGCACTAAATCACTCTAATCTCAACTCTCCCATGTTTGCTGGAATCTCAAGCGAGTAGGAAAAACTTGGACAAGTATCCAAACAAGTTATACCAAACAAAATTCCACTAAAAATTACTACAGCTTCCACAAATTTTAGTATTTAACGTTTAGACACAAGTCTTTCGCAGAAAATACTAAACTTCTCTGTTCCTATGGTTAAAGTTCCACAAAAACAAATTTTGAAACGCTACTGATTGCTGTCAATAAGACTTACTCTCAATTTAAGTTCGTTTTGAACTTCTGGGCTCAGTGAGCTCTGCATTGCTAGACGGTCACACAAAGAGTAATTCTCTTTACGAGGAATTCCTTGAGTCACACAATTTAGTGAATTATTTGTCGTTTCTGCCTCACCTTCTTTCACGACTTTAGCTGTTACCTCTGCTTCCGCCCTTTTCGTTGCCAAAGATGAGACCAGACACGCATTACAATTTCTAGAGAATAAAAAAAGTAGACGTTAGGCAAACAATTTAGAAAACCCGACTATGCGATAAATCATGCATAACGCACATTTAGTCACTTAATCAATAAAATCACTAAGAAGATTAATGATACAGAACCATATAAAAAACGGAAGTACAAACCAAACCATAGCTCTAGATATAACAGCAATAAATAAACGTTTAACTACCATAAGAAATAAAGTAAAAATGTTAGATTTTCTTTTAACTTGTTGAAGATGTTAGTCGATCATCTAGTGAGAGTATTTGTAAGTAAATTAAATTACCCGCTAAGCAAAGAATGACGTCGTAGCTGTTCTGTGTTGGTTGGTTCTGTAGTCCCTTCGTTACTAAAATACAAGTATTTGTTAAACAACTGCTCAAAATGTACCCAGCATCGACTAGTGCGTACGCTTTTTAAGTAACAATTTGGAAGTACTACCGTTTCTCCTCAGCTGAATCGCGCAATGCCTTATTCCTTGTATGATGCAGTTGTTCCCGCAACGAGCTAGCTCCGGCAGCACGACGAGACCAAATCTGAAACAACTTTATATCAGCACCCTCAAAACCTGCCACAGAAAACTTTGCAACTTATGCTCACTTGAGCTGAATTTGAATTAGCTACTGAATAAGTCCGTTCCGCACTATCTGGAGAATTACAGTCTTCAGAGCCATACCGTCGAAACAAGTACGCAGACTCAAAATAGCCAGTAGAACGTGCAGATCGCGTTGAACTCGATGTTGAGCAGAGCGATGAAGCCCTGAAAGAGTACACCAAATGTTTGCAAAACTCCTGTATAATAAAAAATAAAATTTACAGAAGATTACAATTAGGAAGGACCTTTGAGAAACAGGCTGTGGTTGCGTTGGCGAAAGATCAGTTGCAGGTTGCGTGTCCTTGAGATCAGGTTTGTAATGGATTATAGAAGAGTACAAATAAGATGTGGACGCCATCGGTGTGTCGTCGCTACAAGGAGTTTCTGGCGGTGACGCATCACCACTTGAAGAAACACACTTCATTTCACTACATGCACGGCTACTGCATGACCCAGACGTTTGCGAGATATCATTAACAGGTGATGACGGCTCCTCAATAACGCTTTTCGACAAAGTGGCTGAGGGTCCTTCTTCATCACCGCTCAAAGCCTCGTCCCTAAACTTGTTTTACTATGAAACAGCCCAACAAAATTAATGTTTATAAGGCCAATCCATGTACCCTTATTGTTGAAAACTAGAAGACCTTTCTAATAAATTACAAAATCAAAAAAAATTTAAATTTTCCCCTCAAACATATTTGTATTAATGAAAATATGTGATTCCCCACGGTTCATCAATAAACAAGGCGTGATCCGTCTCGACCAAATACTTTTCATAACGAGGACCCGGCAGATTTTGTGGAAAAACTTGATCGTGATATAAAATCAAATTTTTTACCAGTTCATTAACGAAGTTGTGGTAGAAAACCTGTAACAGTGCCGCTTAATAAAGAGGTAGTCAAATTTCTGAATAGTTCTACCTTGAAAAAGGCATTTTAAAAAACAAAGCAAGAAGGGCTAAAATACACAACCTGGTCTTTTCCTTCAGGGATCGGTAATAAAGTAGGACCGAAACAAATTGCTAAATTATATGGATCCATCATATTTTCATCACTAAATTCGCTTAGGTGATTTAAAAACGCAAAAAGATATCGAAGAACCAACAAGGTAGGCTGCGATAGTTTCTGTAGGAGAGGAACTATCTGAAAAAACATTGATAAAAGAGTACAAAGCTATGCACACTAACAAGTAATATAATGAAAAATTACGAGACAAATTTAAGTTAGAAATTAGAAGCAAATTTCTCTACCTGCTGAATAAAACCCTCAGCTGTCGGACATTCCGCACACTTTGTGAGTTGATCAAACAAGAATATGGGAAAGAGTGGTTCGCGAAGTTCTCGAAGATAAAGCTTCAAGACACCGGCAACAGAATTAACATCGCTAGCATCAACAACATCACGTAGAGGATCCTCCCCTGTAATCCTGACAACTAAACGACACTGTCCAAGTTTTTTGGCACAAAAGTAGAAGGTATTATAATGAGAACTTGAGTTGTAAAAAAAAGATGCTGTGCAGAACCCTCAGTACTCGACTCAGCAGAACCTGTATGAAATAATCAAGTATTGAAGCACACTGGGATTGCCACACAAAATGAAAATGAAAAAAAGCAAAATCAGATTTTCAAGAAGGATATTTTTGAGACGGTACTCGTTTTAGATCGCGATATATTTATCAACCAAGAGGAAAAGTGCAAAAAAGTGCCACATTCACCTAAACCAACGTAAAAATATTAATTGCAAAAAATGTTAATAAACCTTTTTCAAATGCTTCCTTGAACGCATTAATTTCAATCTGCGATCCGGAAATACGAAATATACCCTGGTGATGTAAAGCAAATTGTGAGAGGACTCTAAAACAATGTTATATGACTACTAGATTAAAATATCAGCTTTTCCGGCAATTCTGCTAAATTCCATAATAAATACAGCAAGAAAATGAGACTACTGTTATAAAATTTCCTTCTGAAAACCTTATTGAAGACGTTATCAATAAAGGAATTGCTTCTGAAGTAGCCTCAACGTATTCATCAAGACTGCCTCCAAACAAGCGTGGTCGACGAACAACCTCACATGAGGCAGTTCCACTACCAATTCGTTTCTTTTTACGTACACGTAAATTAATGTTTTCACTGTCCATGCTAGATGCTGAAATGCAGCTACTGTAATGCCCGCTTACGAAATTCTTAAACTTCAGGCAAAAAAAACGAATAATAGAACTTCCACGTATTCTACTTACTAATTTAGAATTAAAACAATCGTTAGAAGAAACCCTCAGAAAAGTAACCCCTTGATAATCCTTTTAACCCAAAATCTATACTAATCCATTTTCCAAGACTATTTCAAAATGAATTAAACAACATAATCAAAAAATGTCAATTCGTTCACTGATAAAAAATTTTACCGTCAAGCTCCCAATTCCATATATAACTTATCAAAAAATTAATCAGAAAATGTGATTTTTTAAACAACAAGGGAAAAAGGCATACATTACAAAAAATTAAAATAATAAATCTTAAGTAATAAAACGAACGAGTTGGAGTGTCTGCATTTGAACCAACATCCGCTCCTCCCTCGGAAGAATTTTTTGTTGAAAATTCATTCAGGGCATTAAGAATGCCGTTTGAACGAGCCTCCAAACGTTCAATCAGATTACTATTCAATAAGTAGTGACTAAATTTCTGCAAAAAGAAAAAAAAACAATCAACACACAAAAAGCGCAGAAAGAAGAACTACACAAAAGTAAACGAAAAGACTAGAAATACAGCAAAGAGCAAATTCTGTTAAATACTTCATCAACTCACAGCTAAATAGTAATCGTACAGCTCATTCAAATCGTGTTTGCCTTTCAAAGTATCACTGGTATTGTCTGATGCATTAGATTTCAGCGTTCCTATAAGCGCCGTAATTGACTTGATATTAGGGATGCTATCTAAATGTTTCTCTACAACAGCTCGCTCAGTTGATTCCAACGTTTTCCAGATCTCCTCTGACTCTTGCCTAGAAACAAACGAGGAGTTAAAATCAATGTAATAAAGAAGCAAAGAAGACATCTAAAACAAGTCTAACCCACTAAAAAATGCACTTCATGCTCTCGCACATAGCACCCTTTATAAGCTAATTCTTGCACAAAGTCTTTCAACCTACCTTACATTACCCAGTCTCCTGTCAATTTGAACGTGACGCTGTTGTAATTCTTCAGCTACACCTTCCTCCGCGCTAACTACACTGATAGCATCACCCACTTGTCCTCTAAAAAACTATTTTTTCAAATATCAGATACGAGTCAGGCACTAGATAATAAATGTGCGTCAAAATAACTAAACAAAGTCAAGTCACGAAAATATTCAAACAATATTTTTCAAAAAAAAAAAAAAAAAAAAAAAAAAAAAAAA